ATTCTGAAGTACAAACATAAAATGAATCTGTCTTTGCCTCTCACTAGGAATAAATAGATATTAAAAGCTTGGTGTGCCTGCGGAGTGCTCTAGCAGTGGATAGGGCACTAAACTGGAAGTGTTTCTATTCCCACTAACCTTCTATGACCCAGAGCAAATCATTTATCTCACTTACCTCAGTTTCCCGCCTCACTCTCTGTATCGTCTAGCTAGACTAAAAGCTCTAGCTTAAAAGATCAAGCTTTAAAACTCTAGCTTAAAAGGTTACTGTGTGTTTGCACAATGGATCTTTGATCTTGGACTTGGGCCTCTAGCTGCTGTGGGAATATAAAAATGATAGTTGTATATATTGTTATCCTACTATGTTTTGTGTTTAGACTGGCTTACACGTCTGACACTTGGCTTCAAATTGATCTAATGCACCAAATAACTTTATTTCCCAATACTGATAACGATGGTTAAAATCATTCCCTTGCTCTTTCTTACCTTTTACCTGTATAACCTGATATATTCTGTTTATAGTGTTGTGTACCTTCTTAGTTAGCCCAATGAAGCACAAGGAGATGGTTCTATACAAAATGAAACTCTGTACCTTTATATCAGTTCCCATCTTAGGGTCTATCTAGACTACATCCTGCTTTCCACAGAGGGATGTACATTAGACACTTTGAAATTGCAAATGAAGCCGGGATTTGAATTTCCTGCACTTCATTTGCATAATCGCATCATGGCGCTCTTTTGAAAAAGCGCTATTTTGAAAGAGAAACCACAGTATGGATGCGGTTCTTTCAAAACTAGAAGCCTTTTTCGAAAGAGCGCCATGATGCAATTATGCAAATGAAGCACAGGAAATTCAAATCCCAGTTTCATTTTCAATTTCCCTTTCCCCCACAAATCTGAAAGAAAAAATAATTTGCTCATCTGGCTCCTTAACTTATACATGTCCATTAGAAATGTGCAGGTCAAATATATTTTAAAATGTGAGTAAGTCTGACATTCAGTCAGGTGAAACTTGAATATGTGCAACATAGTTAAACCAAAAATTGTCATACTCCAAGTCATTATCTGAAACAAAAATCTGTGCCCTTGCTTAGATCTACTCCTTTCTTACATGGGAGTCATCTTTGGAGTCCAAGTGACTTCTCTCTATTGTTCTGCTCATTGTAAAATATATCACGTTCATGTTCTACTCGCTGTCCTGTCCTGTATGTATATTAGGCTGTCTGGATGTGAAGCCATTGTATCTTTCTGTCCTCTAGTGAGGACTCATCAATTAGGCCCTTTATCTAGACAAGGAGAGTCTTTTGTTCATATGTTAAAGAGTCCTTTCCTCTATCCTGACACAATAGAGTTTATTAGTGACACTTTCTTTCTGCTTGTTAAATTGATTGATTGTCACCAGCTGTGTGGGAGAGTCATTTGGATTCAAGGAACAGTTTTTCCTTGGACATATTGCATTAACATGTTACAGCAACATTCACACACATCCCTCAAATTCAGTCAGGGTTACTTTAATTCCAGTTATGTGTTCCTCTTTGCCTGGCTGCCACTCTGGAACCCCTCCTGGCTTCTTCAGCGTTGAGTTCTGCTCATCTTTCAAGATTGTTTTCAGTTATTGGGTTTTTTTCCCTTTTCTGGAAATTCCTGTTGTTGTTGTGGCCACATTCTTAGTGTACTCTTCAGCACTAATAAGGAGACAGACTCTGCCCTGGGCTGCCTCTTGTGTGGTTCATTAGCATTTTATACCCATTTTGTACGGAGGTAAATAACTATGCAAGGTAGTGGAGAATCAGTCATACTAGTCAGTACGCCAGTGAGCTGAATCAAGAGCCAGATAATCGGGCTAATATGGCCCAAAATATTTAATTAAATGCATAGCCAGGTTGATTTTTCTGAACACAAATCAACTGCATCATCAGTGTATATCTCTACAGATATGCATGTATAACATATCTTATTTCTATATTAAAAACATATCTAGATATACTGCAGCATGAACTCACATACAGCCAAGCAAAAACACACTGTGACCTTGTTTTCATCCAAAAATTCAGAGGAATTCAGCCAGAAGTTCTGAGATGCAGCCTGAAAATTATAGTTGCAATTTACAATCAGAGTAACATACCCAGAGAAAGTGATCAAATGGAGTATTTGCTAGATTTTTCAATGCATTGTCATTTCCACCACCTTCCTCCTAATATTTTTTAATTAGCAAATGACATCCTGGGTCCTGGTGTAACCACATGCGACTCACTCCGAGAAGGACAGCCATACCTTTCCAGGCATGGGGAACAGCTGAGGGCACAATAGAAAGCAAGAGAGTTCAGCAAATTCCACTGAACCAAAAAGAAAATGTCATGTAGGCAGAAAGCAAATGTGGTTTTTGTGCTGCATGCATTACAGAAATGGCTCGGAATGTTGAACCTACCCTTCCTCTTCGCATCATGTCTAATCTCACTTCTGTGCCGGACACAACCTCTCCCTCCTCTTGGAATGATTTCAGTTACAGAGGATCAAGGCCTAAATGTATCACCATCAGATGGCTGGTACTAAGTGAGAGCATGAACATTTTTGATGTGCACCTTAGGCTTCCATTTATTTAAAAAAAAAGCATGTATTTATATAAATACAATAGTGCTAATAATAAATTAATAGCAGCAATGTATGCAGGGTAGTTGTAGTTATATCAATGTGAGGGCAAGAGAAAAAAAAGACAAGGTCTTGAGTTAATCTTCAAGTACATTTCCTAAGCCTGAAGAAGAGCTCTGTGTAGTTTGAAAGTCTGTCGCTCTTACCAACTGAAGTTGGTCCAATAAGTGATATTACCCACCCACCTTGTCACTCACAACTAACAAAGAGCTTTGCTCAGATCAATTGCATTATCTCCCATAGGATGCAAGGTGGAGGCAAATTTCCTGTTGAACAGCATTCAGTTTCAGTCTCAGTACCTTGTCATTTTCTGTAATTAGCCAGCCTCCTACTGTTATGCTGCTACTTCTCTTTATTTCAGACAGCTCTGTTCAGACTACCAATCGGCAGCTGGAGAGCCACAAGCCTGTGCACCGCTCAATACAACATGCTGCCATTGAGCTGCAATCTAGTGTTCATCACACTAAGCTGAAAACAAGCTTCTGTTTCTGTTATTTGCCTGTGGTTGACATCCGGTAAACTTCCCTGCTTTCAAAACTAGTTTACACAATGAGACTGGAACTAAGTTGGGACCAGATACTGTCTGTTCCTTCCATGTGTGCAAAGTGCAGAGGGAGAGAAAGAGACCAGAGTTTTCCATCAGGCAGACCAGATAAGTTCCAGGTACAACTCCAGTCCCTGTACACAGAAGGCAGGCACTGTTCCCTTCCTATTTCTGAGAGCATTCAGAGCCCAGAACCCTGCACACAAGACACAAGAGCTAGCTATCCCTAGAAGAGAGAGCATACACTCTCTTCTGAATATTTCTTCTATAGAAATTCAGCACCCCATGCCTTGAAGTGGTTTCCACTATATAGAGGCAGTGTATCATGTAAGCTGTGTGCATGTGTAGTCACTCAGGAGAGATTCAAATGCCTCCCAGTTCATTAGCAGAGTGCCCACAACTAGATTTTTGTTTCTCCTGGTGGTGCATATTTGTATATGACTTGGTGAATATACAATTATTCCACACATGGATGGGAAAAAATCCATAGATGGATGGAAAGATTAGCAGGAACATTATATACGAGGTTTACAGTTTGGTTCAATGACTCTCAGCACCCCATCAATCCCATTATGAAAATTGTTCCAGCACCCCTAGCTACACCCTACAAAGGGCTCATCTATACTTAGCAGACAATTGATTCCCTGGAGGTCAATCTTCTAGTGTTAGATTTAGTGGGTCTAGCACTGACCCATAAATCAGACACCGAGGGTAGCCTTCTCTCCCCAGCATCTGGTACTCCTCCTTCTGCGAGGAGTAAGGCAAGCCAATAGATGCAAATGCTCCCGTTGGCCACCCACTCTGTGCATGCTGCCATGGCTCGGTTTAAGGTACGCTTACTCCAGCTATGCGTTTTGTGTAGCAAGAGTTGTGTACCTTAAGCTGACCTGCATGGTCTAGTATAGACCAGGCTACAGAGGTAGAACAGAATTGTGCAGCACGTGTGAGCGTGCAAATTTTGGGACACACGAGGCCCCGAGGGGGCACATCATAGTCTTCCTAAGGAGCATCTTCCCTGATACAATGAGCTGTGAGCCCCCATCCTAATCAGAATGTTCTTTGAAAGTAGTTATTTTAACTAGGTTATTTTAAAAGTGTTATTTTAAATAGATGGCTCCATCCACACAAGACCCTCACTGACTCCCAGTGTCCTTGTGACTACATCCTGAATAACAGTTTCCCTCTGGATAGCTGGGGATCGCTGGGCAATTTTCAGGGAGAGCCTTTCAAGCTGATTTGACGTCTGTGATGCAGAGAGGGAATGCTATTGTATTTGCATGGAGGAGTACTGGTCTTGCATAATAATTTGTAGAGCAGTAGTTGCCACCTGGCATAACTTGTTATGCAAAACCAGTGCTCCTTTATGCACTCGACTACATTCTCTCACTCTGCTTCACAGACGTTAAATTTGCTCAAAAGAGTGTCCCAGAAAATTGCCCAGTGAATCACTGAGGGTCTTGTGTGAGTGAAGCCACCTATTTAAAATAACTATTTGTGTACAGCTTTTAAAGTACATGCAGTCCATTCACAAAGGAAGATCTGGTCCATCCCTCATAGAACTAAGATAATCATATCTAGCAGGGGTAAATAAGGGTACCAGTTGCTGTGCATGGTTTTAAGTATGGTTCTACAGTTCAGCTGTTCTGGAATTCAGTTGGTTCCCAGTAGATAGACAGTTGCATGGTCACCTCCGGTTTTTAACTATGAGGTAGACAGAATAAAAGCCCTTGCAGGGAAAATGCTGTCCTTAGAGTTCTGTCTAGTGTGTGTCCTTCTTTGTTACTTGAACAAGTTTCTCTCCTGGCAGGTGGGGCGCTGTGGAAGGCTCATTTTACAACTCCAATATTCCAGCCAGAGGGTGCTGGAGCCTGTTACAGAAGTGGAATGTGCCATTGCTTTGGGGAAGACGTAACCCATCATGACCCTCCTTTGCTCTTTGACCTCTCCAGAGACCCGTCTGAGTCTAAACCTCTGTCTCCCTCCACTGAGCCCCTGTTTGACACAGTAATAAGCAGAATTGAAAGAGCGGTGGAGGAGCATCGCCAGACCCTGACTCCCGTCCCACAGCAGCTCTCTGGGTACAACAACGTGTGGAAGCCCTGGCTGCAGCCGTGCTGTGGGACATTCCCTTTTTGCTGGTGTGACAAGGAAGGAGACAGTGACCAGGGCTTTCTTTAACCAAGGAAAGAGCAGAGAGGCCATCACAGACCAGAAAAAATAAAAGCAGCAGGGTAGCATTTAAATGATTTCAGGCTGAATGCTGACATTCCTCTCCTTGGCTTCACCCTACACATGCCCACCCTGCCATTTAGCTCCAGTCAGTAGACCTGGAGTCTGCCTCAGTAAGGCCTGAACATTATCTCTGGGCCATATTCTGTCCCAGTTGCACCAGTGTAATTTGCCTCAACAGTGAGCTCAGGCTTCAGCCCAGAGATACTTTTCATACTGACTTTAAATTCGAATAAATCATCGGTTACATAGAACTGAATCACCAAGGTAGTTCCATTCATGTTACTCAAAGTGTCACAGAAATCAACAGGACTGTGTGGGAAGATGGATCTCAGGACTTAACCCTTTGTTTATAGACACTAACCTGTATTTCAAAACAAACTGGTGATTCACTTTGGTACTGTGTCGAAATGTGTCCACCTCAGCAATTGTACATCTGCTAAATCACCTCAGTCCCTTGTCAGCAAATCTGGTTGTCTGCCATGGCTATGATTCCCATGACAAAAAACAAAGGAAAAGATTTTTAAATATTGCATACCTAATGATAGGGATCCTAAGCCCATAGAGAGATACCTTAATAAACAGCTTGGCATTCAGAAGTGCTGAGACTTAATAGCTCCCATTAAATTAAATACCAACTAGAAAATGCACAGCTCCTGAAAATTATGCACCACGCTTTTCCCTATTGAACTAGGTCTCTCGGCTACTGAAATTGATTATTCAGAAAGTCAGTATCTGCATTGACAAGACTGGTACCAAATTTCAGTCAGCGGATATGTCCATATGGAATGAAACCCAGAACGAGTGGGACTCAGGTCCACTGATCTGTGTTTGGCCTCCCTTGGCTTGCACATCTATATTGTACATTGTAGTGGAAATGTGGAAGATGATTGTGAGGTCAAGGAAATTGGGTGATGTACCACAATCCTTCCTTTTGTGCCTGCATTTTCTTACAGGCCTGGATGCTCTAGGCAGCCATTTGTGCTTTTTGCTTCTTATTATTCTTTTGTTATTCTCAAAGAGTGAGCTGTTTGCTCAAGATGGTACAGTGTAGGAATGCACTGTTGACTTTCAACAAGTTCTGGGACTGGTCCCAAGGCCATGCAGCTGGTGTGGGAGAACAGGAGGGCTTGGGACGATCACATTGCTATCTTTGCAGAATGTTTCCCACCTGATAATGCTAATTATTTGGCCTGGGAAAATATGCAAAGTATCAACAAGCTAATTATTGGATGTGGGAAAATACACAATGTATCAACAATCTTGTTAGGTTCTCACAACGGGTGTGATTACTGTAGATCCAACAGTATATAAGTGCTGGGGATATTCCTAACATTGGAACCTCGGTGTAGACCAAAGCCGCAGAAAGTGCTATACACAGGCCACTGGGGTCTGTCCATTGTCCTTCTTCAGGGGGTTCCCGGCAGCAGAAAGGGACATAGGCATTGCATTTTATTCTGAGGTCTGCTTAGGCTTAATAAGCATTGTACTTTCTTAATAGGCATTTCATTTGATTCTAAGATTTGCTTAGGCTTAGTAAGTATTGTATTTTATCTTAAGATTTGTTCCATTGTATTTTACTCTAATATTAAGCATAGTATTTTACCTCAATATTTGCTTAGTAAAATCTTTAAGCCTTCACCCAGTTTGTGCATTTATTGCTTCCCAATCCCTTAAGGGAAGAACCATTACCTCTTGGCAATACATACATTAACCCTACATTAAGACTTCTCTAACCCTCTGCTTGACCCCGGGGCTCTGAAATTCATACTGTAGTGTGCAGACCTGACTCTACGCAGATCTGGCTGTGCTCCTGTGACCATCTTGCTTTGTAAAAGGCAGGGTTGAGTGGATATCAATTGAAAACCCAGGCAGCTCTTTGATAGGGCACAAGGAATGGAAAAATCTCTCTAATGGGAAGAGCCATGAAGAGTTTGGCTTGTTTAAACTGAGCCAAAGGAAAGCTATAGGGAGATAATTGTTCTTGATGAGTATATCAGGGAGGGAGAGGAATTATTTAAGTTAAGTGCCAATGTTGACAAAACAAATGGATATAAACTGGCTGTGAAGTTTAGGCTTGAAATAAGATGAAGTTCTCGAATCAGCAGTGGAGTGAAGTGCTGGAACAGCCTTCCAAGGGGAGCAGTGGAGGCAAAAAGCCCTAGCTGGCTTCAAGACAAAGCTTGATAAGGTTATGGAGGAGATGACAGAATGAAGCGGTCTATAATGGTATATACCTAATCTGCAGCTGCTAGCAGAAGTTATTGCCAATGACCAGTGACAGGACAAGAGATGGGGAGAGAATTGCTACAGAGAATTCTTTCACAAGTTTCTGGCTGCTGGGTCCTGTCCCATGCTCAGAGACTAACTGATCATCATATTTGGGGTCAGATAGGCAGAGGGCAGATTGTCTTCCTCTTCAGCATGGGGCATGAGTCAATTGCAGGCTTGGAAAAAATGTAATGGGTGACTGTACTATAGCTTGGTCTCTAAACCCATGATTTGGGGACTTAGCCAGGGGTTAAGGGTCAATTATAGGAGTGGCTAGACCACCATCAAAGTTCAGGCAACCCACCCAGAATCCCCAGCATGAAGCAGGGTGCTATTGTATGAGGTGCTGTACAAACAGAACAAAAAGACGGTCCTTGCTCTAGGCCATCTGCAGTCCAAGTATAAGATATTAGAGAACAGATGGAGACAGATGAGATGAGATAAACAAGGAAGAAATGTTTTTAAAGCAATTCAACAAGAGGAGATTTTGAAGGAGAATGATGAAATAAATGGCTTAGGGGGCGGGGGCAGTGCTTCCTAACCACAAGGGGTTGTATGGGAGAGAATGAAGGTACCTGTTTGAAAACTTAACAAGATGGTAGCTGGCATCATTGGCCAAGGGTAGGCAGATGACGACAAGTAAGATGGGAATAGGCTGCAAAGGGCCTTAAATGTTAAGAAGCAGATTATGTCCCATGTGTTAGAGAAAGGGATTCAAGGAGAAGAGTGACCTGTCAAAGCAACAACTTCAGAAAATGATCTCTGTAGCTGTATTCTGAGTGTATATTGGAAAGACAAGATTGCATTTGTAAAAGATCAAAGAAAGGGATGTTGCAGTCGCTGAGATGCCAAATAAGGAGTGTCTGGATGAAAGTACTAGATGTGTGGATGGAGAGGAAAGGCTGTAATTTTAGAGTTATGTAGCAATAAACTGACAAGACTTAAACACCACCTGAAAATGAAGCCCTAAAGAGGTCTGTCTTGAAGGTGACTCCCAGGTTATGAGCATTGTTGACAGGCAGAATGGCAATGTTATCTGCAGTAATTGAGAAAAGAGGTACTTGGAAGAATTGAAAAGGGGCCAGGGAATTAAGATGGCTAAAGCAGAGCTTTATTTTATCTAATGATTAAATATCTCCAAGAAGATGTCAGAGAGACAGGAAGAGATTTTAGTTTGTACTGGAGACAGGTCTGGAGTAGAAAGGTAGATTTCTAAGTTAACCACATAGAGATGGTAATGGAATAATGGTAACGGTAATCTGTACTCCAACTTTCTGCAGGGTTCGTATGAAAGATTCAAGAGGTCAGGTATAGGAGGAAAAAAAGAGACTGGGACCAAAGACAGAGCCCTTGGGAACCCTACAGAAAGGTGGAGGGCAGATTAAAAGGATGCTGTGAAGGACAGGCTGAAAGAGGAATCACAGATGTAGGAGAACCAGGATAGGACAACGTCACTGAAGCCAAGGAAGGACAGCATTACAAGAAAGGCCAGGTCAGCTGTGTTAAAAGGCAGCTGACAAGTACTGGCTCTGAGACTTGGCCAATGAGAGGCCATGAGAGACTTTCGCAAGGACAATTTCAGTTGAGTTCAAGATTGGAGAAGCTAGGATGGAACTGGAGAAGATGAGCTTTCTGCTCCTCAAAATTCTCATCTAAGCCTCCGGTTAACTGATTAAATGGAAGTTTAAATCCCCTCTGTAATGTATCATCACTTTGAATACTGTTTATTTAATTAATTAATAGTAAGTATTGCAATTATGTTGTAGGGCTGAATACAAGTCTCTAAAACAAGCTGAAAGAGTTTCTTGCAGTTCTTCTTAATAAAGGTCACACTGCAATTTGTCAAATTACTTCATATAGAATAATGCCTCAATGAACTGATGGGTTAGGTTACTGGGAGACTGGACATGGTGTAAATATAAATTGGTCTTTCTGGTTGACGATAATTAAATCTACAAGCAATATCACTATGAATTGATAAGAGCGCTGACGCTGTTCTGGGCTTGGTAAGGATTAAACCTGTACTGCATTCCATTTACACAGACAGGGCGTAGAAGATTTTAAAATGGGGGAGGGAATTTAAGGATAAAAACTAGTTTGTTCAGCTCAGAAATGAAGCAGAAAATTTGTCAGATTTTTTTTTAAGTTGTCACCATTACTGGGAATCAAGCCAATATCTTTTGAGCCAACTCCCTCTGTAGCTTGCACTAAGCAGAGGAATGTGGAGAGGCAGGCCCAATTCTGAGTCCAGCCACGTCTGAGAGTCAACAGTGGCTGTAAAGCTCACCTGGCTTCCACAGCATTGGCTGTTGAAATGGCTCCTAAAGGAGTGACGAACCCCTGGAAGAAGCTTCAGGGGGTAGCCTAGTTAGTCTGTACAGAAAAAACAACAAATGGTCTGGTAGCACTTTATAGACTAACAGAACATGTAGATGGGTATTATGAGCTTTTGTGGGAAGAAGATTGGGCATACGCACTTTTATGCAATCCTTCACTGGCTGGTCTGGGTACTGTTGCTTAATAATATAGCCAATTAATTACACTTGTGGCTTGTTAGGAAAAAAAATGTTTGAGAGATCAAATAGTCTATTTTATTGCAAGAAAGCCAGGAAGGGGACAGTACCTTGAGTTGTTACAAATCCTTCTGCGAAGCTGGTTTTCACATCATGTCAGTTCATCTTCCAAAGGAATGTTTCTGAAATATTATTAAAGCTAGTTTGGGGGTATAACTAGCAGAAATACCCAGCGTCGCCTGGGGAAAATATAGTAAAAGGTGTGATGAATGAACTATGTCAATGACATTAACATAGCATATTTTATTGGAAATACTTTAAGAAATTAAAATAGTTAGTGATGTGCTGACAAAACAACAATCCCATAGGGTCTCTTTTCTCACTCTCCACAACTCAGGAAGGCCCATCTTCCCTTAAAGACTCTATGCAAACCAATGCCTGTAGCCTCCCTGTCAGAAGCCCTGAGAAATGGAGGGGATGTTTCCTGGCAGGAAATCACTGCTCCGAGTGCCTTCAGTGCACACTCCACAGGGCAATCTGAATGGACTTCCAAGCGGCAGCTGGACCAGTTCCATTGATCAGACAGAGTGAAAGTCCTTCAAACCAGGTGCAATGAGTGATATCTAGATGATCAGAGCATGCAGCACTTGAACATGCCTGTTCTAATGAGAATAGGCTATTCTGAGTGTACTGCATCCTCAGGCTCCATGGTCCTCCTACCTACCTCCTCTTCGTACTGTGAGCTGAATCCTGCAAAATGCATAATGCCCGTGGCACTTGCTGATAATGCACGCAGCCCAAAGGAGGGCAAGTGGTGGGATGGCTTGTTCAGGTGTAGGGGAGGGAAGCAACTTTAATTTCCAGAAGGGGTTCAGTCGCAGCCCAGCTGTGGGAAGATGTTGAGAGGCTGTGATAGCTGGAGGCTTGACCCCAGCCAGCATCAGCCACATTTGGGTCTGTCCTGGAGACCTGCTGGTGCCCTAGTATAGGGGAGGTTGCAGATTCTCTGCCCCACTGCAGCCTCTCCCCATGGGCTTTCCCCTGCTGGTTCTGCAGGTGCTCACATGCTTTATCCTCTAGGATCTGTAAGACACGCTTAACAGAAGAGTCCAGCAAATGCCTATGATCAGGCACTACTAAAAGCTAATTATCAGTGGGCCCAATTGGGGATCTGGGGGAACCGATTTTGAGATATAATCAATCCAATTATTTAACTTAGGAAATCAGTAGTATCCATGCAAAATTCAGTGTTTCTAGCTCTTACTGTTCCACACACACACACACACACACACACACACACACTCAGTTAAAAGCACTTTTTACATCACCTAGCACTAAAATTCACCAATTAGATTTTTAGCTTGCTTTTCCATTGCAAACCAGTTGGACTTGTACCAGGATAAAACATTTCTGGGTCTTGATTTTGGCAGGGTTTACGTTCCTGAATACTAGCTGTCCAAGTGCGAAAAACCATTAGTTCAGGGTCACCATCCCAGAGAAGGTCACACATGTCTTGCTCTTTGTGCTTATAATTGCTAATTGTCTTTTCAAGTTTGTAATGTTTATGTGTTTAAGACTAGTGGAGCAATAGGTACATTGAAAACCAGCAGGGATGAGGGGTTTTTTTTAACCTTACCTTATCTTGGTACTGTAGCTTACTTTAAATCATAATTTCATTTTGAAAAACTGGAGTAAGTATTATCATAGCATGATTCATGATGCTACACAAGACAAAACAAACTGTTTGTACTACTCCCAAACAAGATATCTGTGCATAACTTTATAAATTATTTACTACACAGTATTGCCCATCTATATGGCTGCGTTACCTAGTGGTTATCTCCATTTGCTAAGCTTCCTAGGCTGTCAACAAGTGCAACTAGCTTCTACCTCATTGTACTTATCCTGGCTGTTACAGCCATACTGGACTTGCAGTATCAAAACATCAACACACATTGTTTTCCTTTAACAGAAAAAAAGTCTGCTGTTTGTGTTGTGGAATAATATTCCAGTAGCTGACAGATCCGTGTGATCCTTACATATGCCATCTTCCAGGTAACCTACTGAATGGACAGTAGCCAATGTCAGGATCCAAAATAAACCATAAATAATACAAATCAGTATTGATCCTGTAACAAACATACATGAAACCTGACATGGAGCATGAGTGTTTTTAATAGCAAATCCCTAAGTCATGAACTGTGCTCAATAGAATGTGTTTCTATGAGTTTAATGTATTGCCAATTTACAACCACTTCGTGTACTGAGATTCAGTATCATTTAGCTAATTGCTCATCTATGATAAGATATGGCAATTTTCAGTATCCCTTGATGAATTGGTTAGCATACAACACCCATAAATCAAAGCAAATATATTAATGTGTAAGGCATATAGATATGGTGTATAATGGGTTACATATGTTGGCTAACAATATGACAGTCAAGGGCTAAGGACATACTTTAGGGAAGGTTCTGAGAATCTTTCCGCTGACATCCTAGGAAGGATTTCTCCATCACTGACATCTGTTGAGAAGGAGGGAAAAAAGAGAAAAAACAGGCCAGACAAGTTAGTGATTGCTCCATCACTGACACTGCTGAGAGATCAGCTGGGGGGAAGGGGGGGGAGGAAAGAGGTCTGCCCACATGTAAAGAGCGCAACATGCACTTACAGGAATCAGTGGGTGGAAAAGTAGAATATATTTTGTGGTGGTGACTAAAGAAAGATACACAATTTAATGTTAAGGAGGAGAAGGGGAGGGGAACAATCTAAAAAAAAAAAAAAAAACCCAGCCTATTCTCAAGTCCATTCTCCTCCCTCCCAAGCTGTATAAATCCTACTGGACTGTAGAGGTGAGAAGACAGGGTTAGAGGAGAGCAAGGGTCAAAGGCAGTATGTATGGACAACTTGAGAATGTCAAGCTCATTACATGCTTTCCTTTCAGGTTCCATCCCCTTTACACATTCAAGCTAAGAGAGTTGAGTCATTGCACAGCCAGTTTACATGGGTTTCTGGGGATTACATAACACTACTAGTTCTGGTAAGACCTCACCCACCATCTTACCATGAGTTTCACTTAATGAGTTGCCACAAAGAGTGCACAGCTTTTTACTTCAAAAATAAAATGGCTATTACGGACATGTTAGTTTGCTCCTTTTGGATCCAATGGAAAGTCAGTGCATTGAACACATGACCAAATCTATCAAAGCAATAAATACACAATAAAAAAAATAAGATACAGATTGGATAAATCTAAAATGATTCTAGTTACATTTCCTCCCAATTCACTTCAGACTTGAGAACCATTCACCTAGGTTTTCAGAACAAGGTTCTTTAATCCTTGAACACATACTAGCATAACACACATTTGTTAAGTCACATTTCAAAACACTAATACATTAGATAGGTGTTAATTTTAGGAATCTAAAATATTTTAAAGAACCAAAGAAAATGTGTGCTGTAGCTATCAGTTGATGCTTAGTAATTTTGCATGTAAACAGTTTTGTAAATACCAAATACATAGAAAAGTAGATCCTCTCACTGGAAAGGGAAACCTGTTGTATATTTCTGATCTGTGGAAATTGAAGTTTTCATTGCTCCATCTTAAGTATGCCTTTTATACAAAAATAAAAAAGTGAGACACGTTTAATCAAAAGGAAGATTGATAATGTCAACTATAAACAAAATAACCTTCTTCTGATGCAGTCTCATGTTTGCAAGCACTGTAAAAATCAAACTTGCTCCTTGGTCACATTCACTGTGTTTTTTCTATGGTACATTAGCAATGAGTACTTCATTAATGTTTATATATAATAAAGCAGAGTGGATTAGACAGTACAGTGTAGTTGCAGTTGGTGAGCTGCCAGAGCATTTTACTTTGCGAGATTTCCTAACATTGGAAAATTTGGTTGGTTTATTTTTAAAATGGAGACCAAATTGCAAGTGAATAATTTCCTAGATTAAGATATTTTTAAAAAAGGAAAAGCAGCAGCAAAGGCCAATAGACGTGCACATATATGCAGTGAAGCTAGGTAACCTGGGGTCTTAAGAAAAGTTTACTGTGCTTCTCTGTATACAGTGTAATTTTTTCCCCAAACAACCCAGGACATTTGTTCTTTATGTGGTCTGCATTTATGTCTAACTTCAAAGTGTGCATAAGCTGCTAGGACTTCCCCTGCCCTATGAAAGGATTATTAAAATCTTTTAAAGCAAATCAAGTGAATCCTTCACACTTACTGGACTTAATAACTAGGATTTGCAGACATGTTTAAAGAGTCACTTTCAGGAAGAGACAGACCATGGAAAATTTTAGACTAATTTTAACTGATTCTTTTGACAAAGAAAAATGTGCCGGTGTAATCTGGGTTTCAGTAAAGTATTTGCTACAATTCCAAATGGGAAATTAGTTAAATTGGAGAAAAGAGGGATTAATGTGAGAACTGATAGATGGATAAGGAACTGGCTAAAAGGGAAGCCACAATGGGTCTCACTAAAAGAGGCTATAGGGGTGATAGTTGAGCTACTAGTGGAGTTCCTCAGGAATGGGTTTGGGGACATTTTTATTCATGATCTTGGTACAAAAGTGATTAAAATTATGGCCACGTTATTATGCAATCCAATTAAAAAGCTGATGATGGATTAGATCAGAGATGATGTGATGAAGTCTTGGCCACCATTTTCAATTAATACTTAATAAAATTCCCCATTTATCGGTCAGCCAAGTCAGGTGGGAAAGCGTTCTCATGAAGCAGTCTGAATTTCTAATGCACTGAAAATTCAGAAGACAAAAAATGGACTAGTTTTGGAGGGCGATTTTAGCAACAGACACCATTTTAAAAATATCCTAGATATATGCACAAGAAATAGGCACAAGCAAAATGTTTTTATTCATTTATTTGATAAAATGGTGGTAATACTTCCAGACAAGTACACACAAACACAGAACATGAGCATCTTCATTGATATTTGAAAAAAAAAAAATATCAAAAGAATCAAAGATAGTTGAAAGTAGATTT